TATGCTACCTAAGAAGAACTCAACAGTATCCAAGGCTTCTTTTCAATCAACCTCGTATACTAGGGGGCATCACCTTCGGAGGTTATATTTTTGAGGAAAATACTTCACGCCAAAGAGGGCCTCGATAGGAGAACTTTGTAATGGGCCAAGCGGTAAAATGAACCCTGTCCATGTAGAATAGTCGAGCCCCGACAACAAAACATGTACGCATGTATCAATTATTCAAAGAAGCATTCTTTCTATATCAAAACACTTTGTGTCTCAAAGAAGTATACTATTACACGAGCTTTACACTTATAACTCTACGAGAAACGGCCCAAGGGCCAGAACGCAAACACACCCCGAATACTCGGGGACTGTCATCGACAATCAACATATCCGAGTCATCGAAAACTCGAACTCATAAGACCTCAAAGAGGCATCCTCTCGATATAAAGGCCAAGGCTATCATACTTGGGGACTAACCTTTCGAACAAGTTCGAAAGGTTATCGGGGAAACAAGTCCAGGAGACATACCCGATGGCTATGGCCATATTGAAGGCTACAGCCATATTAAAAGCCACGGCCACATTAAAGACTACGGTCATATAAAAGGCTATGTCCGAAATAATGCGGCTCGGAGACGTCCGACTTTCGCCATAAAATTAAAGGCCTTCAAACACTTTGAAAAACCGGTTAAATCAGGCTACCCTCAGCAAAAGCAAATGATAAAGGGCTTCGATAAAATCAGCCCTCAAATAATTTAAAGGCTTCGATAACATCAGCCTTTGAAAAAACCTCAAGAGGTATTCAATTATCGTTACACAAACGAATTACAAATGAGGTCCCATTAGATTGAACCTTCGAAAAACCCAACGGGTACAAAAAAACGCGTGCTAAGGCATAGAAAAATTTTCACTAAGTCTTTTAGCCGAAAAGAGAAAAAAATTACAGCGACTTTAGAGGCCGAATTGACCCAACTTAAAGAGCCTAAGGGCCAACCTAAAAGAGACTAAGGGCCAATATAAAAGAGCCTAAGGGCCGAAACATACGGAGTTCGAGACCCTACTCTCACTCAACTCGGACTCAAGAGTCCCATCATTCCGAGCAAGCGTCAAATCAACTTAGGTTTAGCTCGAGGATCAACAAAAACCTTAAGAGGTATTCTATTATATAGATCGCCCATTGATCAATAAAAAACCTAAGGGTTTATTATACTCTGAGTCCACGCCAATGTTCGGACTGATCATTAGAGTTATAACATCAAATTTTTCAAATGAAGACGAAACGAAATTCAACACAAATCGAAGATGAAGCAAAGAGGTTCTTTATATTTATAAGAGATATTTACAATACCCACGAGGGGCCCTTGCACAAAAACAAAATAAAGGAACCTAATCTACTTCGGGCCACATCCCCGAGAACTACATCTCTGGAAGCCACATCCTCGGGAGTTGCATCTTCGGGAACCACGTCTTCAGGAACCTCCCCCTCGGGGACTTCATCTTCATCTTCTCCGCTCTCGGAGCCACTAGCAGAATCCTCATCATCGGAGAGCAAAGCGGCAACCTCTTCCTCCAAAGTCTTTGCTTCTTCAATATCGGCCGAGAGGTCAAAGCCACGAGCGCGCACCTCCTCGAGGGTTTCACTCTGAGACTGTCACCTGGCATGGTCGAGAGCACATGATAACTTAACTTCGGCCGCAGTGAAGATCTCCTGTGCCCGAATGTTAGCGGCTTCAGCATCATCTCGGTACGAAGACACAAATGCCTCTGCATCAGATTTGGCCTTTGCAAGCTCAGGAGCGGATTTAGCTTCGAGCTCCTCGATTTTGCAGATTCAACAAGGCTTTCCTCCTTCACACTTTGAAACTGGCGTTCAATTGAAGTCAGCTGCTCCCGAAGAGTATCTTTCTCGGAGGCGAGACGGTCCATACATTGCTTCCATCCCAGGGTCTTGGCATCCTTCATCTTGATATCCTCTCGAAGCTGCTCCACCAGCTCGCCCTTCTGCTGGGCCGCAAATTTGAAGTGTTAGTCACTTAATCGGATAAATGCATAACAAATCCTCAAAGGGTATATTACCTTTTCAACAAGTTTGGTCTGTTCTCGATGAGCCTTCGCCAACTCAACTCGGGATCCCTCATCTCCTCCTCTTTCTGAACATAAAGGCGCTTAAGGCCATCCTTCTCTTCTGCGAGCTTTTTGAGCTCAGCCTCACATCGAGCAAGCTCAGTTCGAGACTTGGAAAACGCTTCTCGATGGAGCTTCACAGCCTTCACAAAAGGGAAAAATTAGACTCAGAACAACAAAGATAAAGTGCATGCGTAATATTAAGGGCAGAAAATTACTTGTTTGAAAAGCCGCTGGGCCTCATCAAAAATAAATAAGGCATCTGGGTCGGGACCATCTTCGACCCTTGCAAGGCACTCTCGAAAGATATCATTCCCTTCATGGCTCGTTTCCACGTCGGGAGTTCTCATGTTCCGGGCATCTCGGAATTGCCCCTCGGAGAACTCAGGACCAGGCGGCGATTCATCCACATTGATTACCCCAAGTGATCCACTAGGGACATTCTCTTCTCTTTGGAGAGCCTCGGAACCGGGCCCCTCGGTCTCGCCCTCCAAATGACCTCCAAGACGAGGTGCTCTTTTGCTGCCCAATGGCTCGGGGACTTTGCTCGAACTCCCCTCAGAGATTTATTCGATTCGAGAATGAACCGCATCAGCCACCATCGGTTCAGTGGTCTTCGAAGCGTCAGCTCTTCCTCTTTCCCGAACTACCAACAGGCAGTCACCATCTTCCCCCTCTTCATCTTCATCCTCATCCCAAAGGCGTCGGGCCATTTCTGGAGACAGGGCCACGGTATCGGCCTTAGGCTTTCAAGCCTTGCTTTTCTTTGGCTTCGGGGAATTTGCAGGCGATCCCTTCTTCCTTTTCTTTTCCTTGGAGGGCTTTGGGATTTCCTCTTCACCGGGCGGGGCGGCCGCATAGCAACGGGATCTCCGAGGCCTGCATAAACATGAAGTAAGTATTTCACTAAGGAAAATAAGAATACAAACAAGAGAACTCACCATGGTTTTTAGCCTCCCATCGGCCCTTGGCCAGGTCACGCTAGCTGCGTTCCGCGTATGAAGAAGTGGAGGCTAGTTGCCGTACCCAACCTTCAAGGTCTGGGACCGCACCAGGAAACCAAGCAACAGCTACACCATCGGAAAGGGATTAGATCGAGAAAAGGATGAGGTCGAGAAAGAGTAGGGAAAGCAGAATATAAAGTCACTACCGATAAATATGTACTTACGTTTCATGTTCCATTCCTCGGGGAATGGCATCCTCTCAGCAGGAATCAAGTCGGAGGTCCTGATTCGGATAAACCGGCTCATCCATCCTCGGTCCTTATCCTCATCGATGCTGGAGAAGAGAGATTTCGAGGATCGGTGTTGCAGCTTTATCAGACCACCTAGATAAAGGCGAGGGCTGTATAGCTGATCAGGTGGTCGAGGGTGAAAGGCATCCCCTGGATCAAGCTCGAGAAGTACCTAATTAGGTGGACGATGCGCCAGAACGAAGAGTAGATCTGGCCAAGCGTCACCTGGTATTGTTGGCAAAAATCAAGAATCACTGGGTCTATTGGACCCCGAGCTAGATCTACAGGACCCAACATGAACAGATAGGTATACATGCTGAAGTACCTTACCTTATGAGTAGTAATGTCCTCTTCAGGGGAAGGGATCACTACATCCTTGTTCTTCCAGTTGCAGTCCCCTTTCACTTGCTCGAGTTCAGCTTGGGTTATCAAGCATATGTATCGGGACATGGGCTCACATCGGCCCGGTGGCGATGCAGATTTATCGATTTTGAAATCGGAAGTTAGTTCACACGGCGGAGGAATACACTCCTCGATACGAGGTGGCACCACCGCTCTACCTCTGGCCGGCCGCGATGATGAAGAAGCTTTTTCTTGCTGAGGGAAAAGTTTTAGATGTTTTAGCCATTGTGGCTTGTAAGGTCAAGAAAAGAGAAGGAGTGGATGCTGTATTAAGAGAAAATTGAGAGAAGGGTGAACTTAAAGAAGTTGAAGGAGTTAAAGGGATTTTAAGAATGATTTGAGAAGTAAAAAGTTTGCAAAAATCGTGAAGTTGGTCTATTTATAGAGGCCACTCAAGCGTGTTGGGGAAGCCAAACAGCCGACCAACAACCGCCTCCAATTAATGATCTTGTGAACTATGCAGAAACGACTTTTCAATCATTCAGCCGCTGACATCACGAGATTGACATCATGATCAAGGCATCAGAACATCGAGGATCAAACCGTTTCTTATCGTTTTAATCTAAGAAACGCGGGGACTATCTGTATACGGTCGAGATCAGGTAGGCCCGATCTCCCAGGCTCGAGGGGTCGCCTTAGGCCCGAGTTCAGGTAAGGTCGAGGTCGAGCTCGATGGACCGGACTCGAGCTTGAAGACAGAGTGCAATGCCCGAAGATTAAAGTGCGATGGATACCGAAGTCGAGTATGCTCGACCCTGAAATAATGCCGTTATGGATTTGTAACGGAATGAGCGAGATTCCTGCCACGTCCCTAAAATCATGGCGCAAATCCCGAAATAGAATTGTACGATTCCGTACTAGGCGGTTAGACATCTGTCCCAATAAGATTCCTTACTGTAAATGGAAAAGTACCTTATTTAGGGCTCCCCTATTATATAAAGGGGACCCCGATCATTTGTAAATATCATCTGGAAAAGAATATACTCTCTACTTTTCGCTCATTGTTCATCAGAATTGTCCTTCAATTTTATTGTTCTCGCTTTATTTTCTTAATTCATCTCGAGGTCACTGAGCTCAAGGTCGATACTGCTTAAGTAACACTGGTTTGATTCACTTATTTCTTTCATTCATACTTTATACTTCTTGATTATTAATTGGTATTAAACTAAATCACATATCTTTAAAACCTCAAATTAAATTTAATTGTTACTCGTATTTTCGAGGTAAACACTATTGAAAGAAAAGTCTTGTGGTTCCATTCTGCTATAATTGAGTTCATTTCAATCCAATACTCAATAATTTGTCTTTTACAACAAATTAGAAAAAACAAGGCAAGAGACAGTTAACACATTACAAAACTAAAGGATGATTCGAAAAATTATATTTGTCCATTGAATTTACAACGCGGAAAGTTGAAACATGATCTTAAGCTTCTAAGTGCATTATCTGATACAGACTTTGCCTTGATATGGAATGATAGCGAGGCTGTTATTTCCAGGTGCTTTTTGTTCAGATATTCAGCTTCCGAAAAAAGGATTTTGATGAATGTTCTTTTCATCGGCCTGGTCATGTAAGTACAGCCAGCCTTTTATACATTTACACTAAAATTCTGTACTTTACGCCAATAACCCAAACTGAGCACCGAGCATTCTCTATCAACACGCTGGCTCCTGTTTCAACTTGATTCCACTTCTGCAGCCAAACATCATGGGCTGGGAAAACAGAGGAATCCGTCAGAATTATGATACGTTGGAATAAATCTTATTTCAGAAGTAACGTAAATGAATAGAGGCGGAGCCAGGAATTGAAGCTTTTGGGCGGAAGATTCGAACCCTTTTAAGTTGCTGGTTTCTAAATTAATAATTTTTATATTTTAAATGAATTTCTTAAGGAAAATACAGAGCTTGGATCAAAGTTACAGGGCTCAGCTGAACCCATACCTTGCTCTCTAGCTCCACCACTGTAGATGAACGCCTAGCAAATATGAAATGATCGTACAGAAGTTCTTTTTAGTTACATTTATAACGGGGTAATTCTAATAATATGGTGGAATTTGCAGAAGAAGCGATTCAATCAAGCTCTGGAGTTAACCACAGTTATATGGCATAAGAATAGAACCTTGTGCCTAAAGAGCGTGCAAGTGAGATTACCTGAGCTGGACTGAGCAAAAGACTACTAGCAAGCTCCTCATTCAAGAAGACAGGAAGTGGTGGCATTTGGCTCATAATCCCTGGCATATTTCCCATGCTGAAATGACATAACAATGGTAATATTATATGAATTGCAGGACAACTATTCAGCATGGCGATTAATAGAAAGGATAGTTGGATTACTCATTTAAAATCGCACTTAAATTGTTCTTCGTCTGGAAAAAGAGATCAACGTTGTCCTGCAACTGCTTATTAACATATTGACATCAGATATCAGTATAGAAAATTTCCAAAGTCACAAAAAAATAAAAAATAAAATAAAACCATGAAAAGGTAATAAATGATTCCAGTTTCTTTATTTTTACTTTCACGGGATTATAGACACCTCATCCAATTCCCACATTAATTTTCTACTTAGGTCTATTATTTCAATGGTATCACCATTCTGTTTGAACTAAAACATAGGACTATCAAAGCTAACAAAGGAAAGGCCTAAAGATGGCAATGGCACCTGTTCTTTTTATGACCAGTATCATTCAGATTTAGAATTACAGAACAATGGATACTGACAAACATAGGATATGGTAATAAGATTCAGCCAATAAATGTGTCATTCAGTGCCTGTCCGAGCTCTTTTCATGCCAGTATTAACGAGCCCAACTTTTCTTTTTTCCTTGATGGACTATCACTATTAATGTCACCTCTAGTAAAATATCAGAAAGTCACTGACATTCCGAGAAACCTATCCGAAGTCCTTCAACAGCAATTTCACATTTGGTTATTCTGTTTCTCCTCCAATTATCTGTTAAGTTGAACTATTTTTTTAGAAAAAATAATAAGTTTCATTAAAAGAAGAGCAAAAGTGCACCCATATACAAGAAGTATACCAAAAAGTAGAAAACCTTACAAAAGGACATGATTTTTTTTATCAAAGATACCCAACCTTCTATACCAATAGGAACCTCGTGAGTGCATCCAAGGGAAATAAGGGAAAAGAGGCTATTTCGTAAGCGTATAAAACCTTTCAGATAAGTTTAACACTATAAACAAGAGGTTGAGATTAATACCTTGAATGTTGAGAGGTTAGCTGAAATTTTATTGAGGACCTGATTATTTTCTTCCAATAGACGCCTCGTTCCAAGTAGTGCTGCTAAAACCAAAAAACCATTTATACAATTAGAGCCAATGCCGCACTAAACAATGCAAGCTGCAAAACCAAAAGCACAGAAGGAAATAGAGAATAGCACTGTAGATAATCTTTGTTTTTGATAAATTAGCAGAGAAAAAGATTAATTGGTAGTTTTAGCAAGAGTTCTACCAAATCACAATAAATGACATTTTGTAGCGCTTGCATGTATAAATTGGTCAAGCAACATGCGTTGGTAATCTGGGAAGAACCTTAAGGCATTGCACTATTCAGCATCTTTAGGTGCTTATGTACATAAATTTGTCAAATAGCTCCGGATTAATTGCGAAATCCTGTCAATTAAAACCTTATGAAACTTATAAACTTAGGGCTCCTTTCTCCAAAACAAGTAAAATATCACACTTCCACTCCCAACCTCTAATTATCCTTTTATAAAACCATGTTTCGCTGAGTTAGGTTACAAGGGAAGTTGTGCAGCCCACACTTAAACACTTGTTAAGTCAACTTGTGAGATTCCAGTTTTTCTTATTTTAAACCTTCCTTTCTAATTCAAACGAAAACAGACAAGAAAACCTTTTGCCATCTCCTTCACTTTATCAGGAACGTGATGTATGAATTATGCAAGAAAATTAGGCAATAGCGAACAGAGTAATTGAGGAGTGTAACAACCCATGGACCAGTGGCGGTTGAACAAAAGGGAGTTCGTTGTGAAGCTTACTTTAGACAAACCACATTGGAATGAGAGGGGAAAGTTAGGGGCCATATAAGGGCGAGTTTAGGATTCAACTGTCGATGTTTAACTCAAAAAGACAAAACAGTGAGGCCCAAAAACCTTGAGATGGCCTAGAGTTGGCCAAAGCAGACAATACCTTGACAATTGGGNTTAGGAGTAATAAATCTTGAAAGAATTTCGATATTATAATTAGGGAACTCTCAACCTTGTAAAATTTTTCTTAATTTGACATCTTAAAAAAATAATGAACATAAAATACTCTCAACTTAATGATTTATGATTAAGAAAAGAGTAATTTTGAATAGTCAACGGTTTATTAAGAAAAATTGATGATTTACAAGGTTAGTTACGCACAATTGTATAAAGTTTTATTAGGCGAGCCCAGTACGCTGGACGTTGGGCGTGTCCTGGGCGTAAGCCCCGACGCCCGAGGCGTAAGTCTCACGGAACTAAGCCCCACACATAAATTCAGGGACGTTTTACGAGTGCTCCGCCCCAGTGTTTCTGCCTTTTAAAACAGTGATCGTAAGTTGATACAATTTGGTATTAAAATTCATATGGGAATAAACTTTTATCAATGGAAACTAATGTCAACATGAGAGGTAAAATCTAGTAAACTATATTCTCTCCCTCAATAATCTCCATACTTTTGAAACATTGCCTTTTTACCTTAATTTTTTATTTAATATCAACCACCTAGTAAAAAAAAAAAAAAGCAAAATGGTGTCGACATAAACCTCAGTTGCTTACTAGTTGTAGTTACTATGCTACTACTTTTCTTTAGCCTTGTGGGGTTTGGAACCTTTTCTTGCTTCTACTCTTTGTAGCTGGCTCTCCACCAATAAGGTATAAGAATAAGATGAGCAATGGGAAGTGTGCAAATTAAATAATTGGATGATACTTTTTTGGTTTTGTTCTATTGTGACCACAGATCTTGAATAGCAGCAACAGAAAGTGCGACTCCCAATAAGCAGGTGATGCAATAATTTCCTCTTTTGTCACTTTTCCCTATTTCAATTACATGTTGTTGGAGGAATAAATAGTATTTATTTGATTTTTTTTTGGCTGTTTTTTCAATTATTAAGGAATCTATATTTTAGTATTAATTAATAACAAAATTGATCATATTAATAATAATTTATTCATTAAAAATATAATAAATGCTCTGAGGCTCTTTACATTAAGGGCAAGTTTCGAAAAAAGAAATTAATTCTTTCTAAATATCTGAAAAAATCAAATATTATTGACCATAAAAAAAATTAAAAAATTACTTAAAGTGGACTGAAAGGAGTACTTAGTAGTAATTTTGTACTATAGAATTAGGGGTGTACAAAGAAAATCGACAAATCACACCAAATCGATAATCCGAGTCAAAACGAGAAAAAAAACCCGACTGTGGTTTGGTTTGATTTGGTTTGGTGTTAGAAAAAAAAACCGACCATAATTGGTTTGGTTTGATTTTAACTTAAAAAAAAGGTCAAACCGAAACCAAGCCAACCCGACATTACATGTATACAAGTTTTAAAAATACTTTATACATAAAAATAATTATTGTAATATAATTTGTAAATATGTTTTAAACTCTTTAATAGTTCTCTCTTTTAATGTATTATTTCAAGCTTGGACTTAGAACTTTTGAATGGTCAAATATGTTTTATAATCCATAAAAGTTAGTAACTCAAATAAAGCCCAAAGCAAAATCAAATCAATACTAATGCTAACAAAAAATATCAATTCAATACTAGGAATGACAATAGTATTGGATATTTATTTTCTTAGTTTTGCATTGGCTTAGATAGTGAAAATGCATAACTTACTTTTAATATTATTTAGTCATGTAATTAATACTTAGTACTTATTAGTCGTACTTATTTTAACATGACTTAGTACTTTTAGATTATATTTTTTTATTATGGCTTATTAATTAGCAATATTTATCTTATGCGATTTGTTGAGTATTTTAGTATAATCATGACTCATCTTATATTATTTTGTATTATTTTATTGGGTAATATCTTATATACTTTTATCCTACTAGGACCTAAGAAATATTAGAGCACAAATTATAAAATTTTATGCTATGAAGATTTTGTCGGAAAAAATCCCGAAAAATCCGAGAAAATCGAAAAAACCGATGAAAATCGCGATTGAAAAACCTGACTTTTGTTGGTTTGGTTTGGTTTATAGATTTAAAAATCAGAGACAATTGGTTTGGTTTGGTAATTGAAAAATCCGAACCAACCCGGCCTATGTACACCCCTATATAGAATAATATGACTAACATGTTAGTAGGAAAATGACTTAGATTAGCACTTAGCTTCTTTGTGCCACTGAAATAAGTACTACTATAAATTTGTACCTCAAATGAAAATGAATCATAATGCGATGAAATAGTTAAAATCCCTTCATCCTTAATTAGATATTGTTTTTCCTAGTCATTTAAAAATAGCGGTAGAACTAGTATTTCAAAATCTAATATAATAGCTTTTTAAAAAAATATACACAATCACAGTAAAAATGCTTATCAGCGTAAAATGAGCACATATTATTAAGGATTTCAGTTTCAATTGTATAAATTCACGTATTGATATACGGATCATCCTCCACAAAAATATCCTTTGTTTCACTCTCAGACACAGTCTGTCATTATAGCAATTAGGTTCTGAAACCAATTGTCCTCTAATGTAAATTCACAATGACATAGTTTTTAGTTTAAGAAGCTGAGATCTTTTCTCTAATACAGAAAATAGTTTTTAGTTTAAGAAGACATCTTCAAGGGAAATCGACCTAACAACTAATAAGGTATGTTACTTTTGTTAGCTATGTGTTTTTTTTTTGCAATATATTTTATTGGATCTATTGTGAAAAATTATATTTACTAATATAATATTTGAGTAGTTCAATTCAAATTTCTACCGTTAAAAGCTTGAGAAATTAAAATAAAAAACTTGAAAAATAATTTCCTTTGGTACTGAGGGGATTGAAATATGAGAAAAAGTTACATGTGCGACTTCTCCAAAGATACTTGAGAGCGTGGACTTTTCTAAAAATAATTTGCTTAGCTTGTATCAATAGTTAGTGTAGGATATTTATTTTATTAAGATTCCATTCTCCTACCAGGGGAACATATAAATATTAAGAATATAATTTGATTCAAAAAATAATTATTACGATCCCCAAATAAAGACATTAATTAGACTTCATCATTTGATAAAAAAGCTTAATTTTAATGTTGCCCCATACAGTTTGCTTATTTATAGGGTGAAAGCTAGCATTAAGCAAATGTCCAGTGAAGAAATTTATAAAATCCTAAAATAATCATTCAGAGAAGAAGGCTGAGGCGGTAATCGGTATCATTTAGAGCAATGAAATAAATTTTAATAAGATGCTGTAACTTTTTAATAAATTTTATGTATATTTTTATTTAAAGTTCACTTTTTCTTACCCCTTAAGATGCAAGGCTACAAATTAATCCTTTTAAGAATATTCAATTCAAATACTTATTACAATGAGAAATAAAACAGTTCATTCCGAAAATAAAATTATCATAATCAGGAAAAAAAATAGAACGAATGTACACTGAGAAGAAAACAATCAAAACATACGATGTAGATATATTTAACTTAATTTACACACTCATTTGAACAACCTCAACCAAATATAAAAGAAATATATTTTTAGTTATGTTTATTGTAAAAATTATATACTATCTATACTACTACTATATAAAGCATAAAGTTGTATTTGAACCGTTGCGTTTTTTTTAAAGAGTGTGAATGGAAAATGGAAAAGGCGCCTTTTGGATTGCACCTCTTCATACTTTCTCCGGTCCACAATAAGTGACTAATTTGCTTTTGGCACGCCTATTAAGAAAATACTAAATTCTATACAAAAATACCTAGTATGACTAAACTACCCTTAATAAATATTTAATGTGAGGAGTAAGAATTTTTTTAGGGATATATACATAAGTGTTATAAATAGAATTTTATTTATGGTGAATGTCTATATTTAGAGAGATTCTAGGGTTTATTACTTGGTGGCTAAGTCACCCTCTCCCTATAAATAGAGGGGTCCTATTCCATTGTAAATCATCCTAAATCAATAAGAATTCTCTCCCTCTACTTTTCTCTGCACTATTCTTCTTCTTTTATTATTTTATAACACGTTATCAGCACGAGTCTCTAATTATCTATTAAAATTAAGCCTATATTAATACTCGTCTTTGAGAGCTTCATGGTACCACCCGCGGCTGAAATCAAGATGAACTAATTCTGGTTTCTTGGATATTATATTGGACAATTGATGCATTGGCTTTGCCAATGCAACGGTATAAATAGAGGCTTAATCATGGAAGTTGGCCACTGTCTTCCTTTAAAATTCCACTATGTTGTCCATTGATGAGCCTCCGCAATGAGATATATTAATGGCAGTAGAGATATACGTTTTCCACCTGCAAAAGTGAAAAGACAAGGGATTTCCAAGCTTTGGGAATAAATTTTAAATTTAAGGTAAGTATTTTACTTTATTTTTCTCTTTTAGATTCTTGACATTCTATAATTTGATTTTAAATACGAGCAAAGACAATAAATTTTGATTATAACTCTAATAGAGTTAGTAAGAAATTATAACCACCCAAAGTGGTAAAATAGTTATCCCTTACCATGATTGTGGGCAAAGAATTGAAACCCCGTCCCATTGAATTTGCTCCATTCTCATTCCCTTAAGAGAATGTGATAGCAATATGCGATAAGTCTGAAGGAAGACAAAATTATTACCATGAAGGTATCAATGGATGTGGACGTGACAATAGACGAAATTATAATCGTCATCATTATGATAATGAGAAT